CTCCCTCATTTTATCCTCCATCAGTGTTGTGGGTCACAGTGGATGTAATTGCTTATTGTTATGGTTCTTTTCCCTTTCACTATCCCTTGATGTTTTCTATTCTAAGGATGTTAATGTGCTTGGGGTTGTTCTGGCCAATTTCATGATTTGATGGAGGTGGTTTACATTACATAGACATCTTTTTGATACCTGATATTGGGTTCCTGGATCGATCTATGAATTTGTCATATTCACACGTGTCCCGTTCATGAGTTGGGGTGTACTAGATTCCCTTCGGTCTCATGAACTTGAGACGAAGATGGTATGATTGTCTTTCCTACCCTTTCCAGATGACTGGGTTTTGGACTGTAGTTGACTTGCCACCAGTATGATCCTCTTTCCTACCCCCACATGGATGTCCCAGTTGGTTTGTTTTGAATTTCACGTAAAGCTACACAAGGGCTATTTGCTTATTCACTAATTTTGCAGTGAAAGACTAGAGGGAAGGCAGCTAGTCATCACCAACTCTTGGGCTACTCTTTTATCAATAAATAGTGGGATTGACCATCACATTATAATGCCCCCACAGCTGAAAGAGCGAGCAAGCTTTGTGGGACAGGGTATTTGAACCCTCGACCCGTATATTGTGAATCAAGCACCTTAACCACCTGGCCACGTATATTATGGAAGATACATAGATGATACTTTCATCTTCTTTAGAGGAGCTGAACCAAGCAATATATATGAAACTCAATCCTAGAAATGATAAAAGTGGTTAAATGAAAAGGATGTGCCCCTAGGTGAGTGGCTAGGGCGCAATGGACAGTACACAGCAAGTCAACTATATCCAAAACCCGGCCACCTGGTACCAACATCCATGTGGGAGTAGGAAAGAGGATCATACCACCGGCAAGTCCACTACAATCCAAAACCCAGGCCACGAGGAACCTAATATACTGGCTTGAACTGTACAGGACAGTCTTCAAGCCTTTTATTTTCATGATGACAAAGAAACACCTTTGCAATTGATGGGTCTAATCTTGACCATATAGCAACATCATCCAATTGATCATAAATTTTATTATTAAACAAAAAGTGAGATTCCTCGCTGGCATAATTCATAAGCTCTTGAAACACATTCTGAAAATCTCATTGATCATTATGTGCAAAATGTATAGCAGTATGTTGGAATACAAATCCTCTGTATCAAAGCTAGCATTGTTCACCTCTTTGTTAAAAAGTTAAATTTCTTGTGAAACTTCAAAGGTGTATTTATGGTATATTCATTTCTAATAAAAGGTTCTGGCCATTTTTAAGAACCCAGATAACTCGCATGTTCCTATACCTGACACTATAGTTCTCATAGGACATCTATCTTTATAAATCTTAGGAACACCGTGCATGCTCCCTGCATATATTTTTGTTGATATTCTCTAGTTTTGGTTAAATCTTTATCCAATTTCACAAATTTGTTGTTACCAATAATAATTTCACTAACATTATTTCAATATTCTATTTTATTGAATAAAACCATATCATTCCTCTTATCTGATCTTACAATCACTATGTCTTCATTACTACTTAATTTTTTTAAAGCTATAAATTCCTGCTTATTTATAATAGTGAATTTTCTTTCATTAGTATATTCATTGAAAGGTTTACACCTATACCACTAATCTGTGTTCTTATACTTTCAAATGATTCTTTACTTTTTCTCCATATAATTTGTTTTGTCAATTGCTCATAAACTAATAAGAAATTCATTTAGTTCATGGATTTTTTGGTGGGATAAAAAAAGTTTAGACTATGGGCCAGAACCCTTTTTTCTATATCATTTAAATCATAGTTAGTTAGATTAAAAATTACCTTAGTTGAATGATTTATAAAAGTTTCATTATTATATTTTCTTCACTTATTTATTTTCTCTAAATGATTATTCCTACGTTATTTAAAGTTTTATTATTTTGTATAGTTGTCCAATTAACAAGATAGTAATAATCTATTTGGTTAACAAGAAAAAAATAGAGAAAACTAAAACATAACATCAGTAAAAAGAACAACAACTAGGCTAGCTGAAGCCCAAATTCAGCTGTATGAACTTAGCCTTTTCTGGCCCAATTATGTTCAGTTGTCCTTATCAATGTAATCAGTCAAATCGAATTGAAACTTTCTGACCTATACCAGTACACCATGAACTAAAACGTACCATTGAAACTTGCACTAGTACATCATAATTTAAGCAAATGAAAAATATTAAGATTTTCCAAAATATATATATATTTACCTCTCAGTTAATAAACCTTAAAAAAAGAGTTGATGTTACATTTTATCTAACTTGTAATAATGAGTTTGTTTTTCGTTTTAATGTTTTCATTTCAAAAACATTTGTGCTAGACTCTTCATTTTGTCATTTTATGTAAATGTACATGTATAAATTTAAAAAAACTGTTTTTCTTTACAGGTCCTTCTAGTTGGTGGTAAAGACTTTACTTTAGTTGGTCGTCCCTTGTTAAAGTAAGTTTCAAAAGCAAAGAAGCTATTATTGTTCCATAATAAACATACCATATAAGCAAATACATTACACTCCAAAAGTGGATTATTTCTGAACACCCTGATAAATGTTCCTTATTGCATTTTTTTAAAATAAGTAATGAATGAAGTAGTTTTCATTTTGAGCTAAAATAAGACAATTTGTATTATTCTTTTAGACAAATGAAGAAAACCTTGTAAATATTTATACATGTGATAAAAGAATTGATGTAAAGGCACTAAATAGTTTTCTTGCTTGAACAATTTTTTAGGTATTTTCTCAGATATGGTTTACTTGGTAATTTATTTGCACTTAGTCCATGGCATAAAAGCTGTGAACTAGATAAATATGTCATAATTTTTCTACAAATAATTGAGTTAGAATGTAATTACTTTTTTTTTTCTTACTAATGATGTGCAAAAATATTTAAAAAACTTTATTTAATCATGTCTTTGTTTGCTGCTTATAATAATTATTAATTTTTAGGTCTGATATGGTTCGTGTAGAAGCCACAGTTATTGAACAGACGTTGTCACATTTAGTGACACATTTTAAACTCATTCCTCGTAAAAATTCAAGAAGAATGAACTGTAAGTTGTGTAGAAAATACTGAACATGCATTTATGTCTATGAAAAACCAGTGAATGATAAACCAAAATATAAAAATTTAGAATTCTTAGTATTGAATACTTCAATTATTGATCATGGATTTTGAAATCAGGCTAAAGAAATTTAATATATAGTAAAGTTTTTAGTTTTGCAAACCAAAATATAGATAAACAGTTAGAACTTTTTGTTCCTAATGTAAATAAATAATTTTCTTTTGCTTGTATAATGCAATTATATCCTGAATCTTTATGTTTCTTTTCTTATGTGGGAAAGTCTATGACTTGTGAGTGCTATAAGCTATTAAAGTAGTATAAACAACTTAATTCTTACCATGGTTTAGTGAATTGAGAAGATTCAGTGTTCTTTAAGATGAAAAATTTTGCTTAATGGCCAAAAAATAAATATTTAACTCTTGCTACAGGTAAGTCAAAGTGTGCATGTCACAACTTTTTAGAGAGTTACATTCAAAATTTAATTAAAATATAAAAATACTTTATTATCATTGTATACGAATAAACTTGTCATCAAAAAGTAGTTAATAAATAAAATGATAATATTATATAAGTTTTAAGTACTTAATTTTAGAAGAAAACATTTTTGAAAATCTTCAATATCCCTTAGTTTGAGAATTGTGACATTTGCTCTCTAGGTCTTCCCTCTTCTCTAATTTATTTATTAACCTTCCAAGAAGTATGGAACTTAATGTATTACTTATGATAATATCGGTATTATTCAGGCAAAGCACAATTTTTGTAGCCTTGAATTTATAATAATCTATTATATTACATTGTTTTTTATACAGAGAATTGTCTATTTCATGTTTCAGTTTCAAATTTGTTATCACAGGAATCACATCGACTAGCTTAGCTGAATTTTAAAGGCTCTTATCTCATAGTTAGAAAGCCAGAAAAATTATGATAGTTTATGACCTTGTTTGCTTTTTGCAAGTTATTATTCTGAGCTCTTAAGTGCATTATTTAGTGTAGTAGTACCATTAGTATAAAAAAAAAGTAGGCTTAAGTTTTATTGGCAGTATTGTTAGTTGGACATGGTTCAAAGAGTAATAAAACAATGAAATTTAAGTAGAAACAGGTGTATACTTTTATGAGCTTTAACCCTTTTGCATCAGGTAGGTCAAAGTTTGCATGTCACAACCTTTTACAAAAAACTCTAAAAGTCAACTTGGGGTCACAAATTCAGTCAAAAGGATCAAGTACATAGTGAGAGAGTTAATATGGAAGTTTTAATCGAACTGCTAAAGGGTATATATGTAGAAAATGAACTTGTCTATTACTATATTCCTATATTCCATACTTATTGAATCTTATATAAGGGTTTTGCGATTTTGCTCAATTGTTTTATCATAAAAAAGTACTATTTATAGTAAAGTGTCATTATTCATCTTTTGTAATATTTTATTTTGTAATGCAAGTGCACAAAGTAAAAAGATAACCATTGAACAAATCTGCACTAATTTTGTGCATATACCTGTATCACCTGTGAAACTACAGCCTGTTTAGTACAGCCAAATGTATGATTACAAATTACATTATTCAATGAAATTTTGACAAGAAATTACTCATCTACCTACTGCTTCACTTCAAGCACAAACCCAAATTTTCGTTGCGTATAGTATTGTCATTCTTGCTGGAAGCTCCTTCTGCATAAGTCATCTGAACAGAAAATGAATGTGATTGGTCTTTTGAAAAACAAGCATAGCAGCAATAAGTGGAATAGACTGATGGGGCTCACAAGCTAGCTGATGGTGAATACTTTAACTTGACTGGATGCACCAAGTCTCATTTTGTTGTCCTGTCTTCCAGATATGTGGAATATATTTGTAAAATGTATGGTAACCTGTTTGGGAATTTTTCTCATTAAACCCTGAACTTATCCAACATATTTCTGTCTGAAATTCTGGGTTTGTCAAATATATTTGCTATGAATAGAGTAATACGTAGCTCATTCTGCCTTAATGGTGGACATATAAATCACCAACATTTGATATATAACCATACCCCTCCTCCTGCATGGAAAAATTTTGTAGAGGAACAACAATGTTGTAATCCCAAGTCTCAAATGGCAGATATGTATTTATCACAAAAAAGTACTAAATAATATACATTCCAGAGACAAAGTTACAGCATGTACAGGCAGTAGCTACTTGTAAAACCAATAATAATGGTTCTATCCATTGTTTGGTAGATTGTCTATATAATTTGTACATTTGCTGATGGACAAAATGATGAAAAGATTCATAACTGGATACAACTGTATGATGTGGTTGTGTATAGTGGACTTAAGGATTCATTGGATTTCCATAGTGAACTGGGCATGGAAACCTAGATGGCATTCTTCCTGCAAAAGTGGTGTAAATAGCATCCTACAAAAGAATCAATCTTTAATGGCTTCTCACAAAACTGCATTGGGCGATGGAAGCAATACATGATCACATGAAATAGAGATGCCAACCACTCCTATTTTGGCAGAATTATTCCAGTGTTTAACAGAACATAACACTATTACAATCAGGTCTTTTAAATTCAAGTTTTTTTTGTCAGTTTGACATAGCATGATCTAATAAACTTGTTATAGGGCTAAAATGAAACTATTTTCATTTAAGCTTTTGTATGTCTGCAGCTATAGTCAAACCAGACTCAAACATATCTAAAATATCATATCATATTGATAGTTAGCCCATTTATAAGTTTAAATTGCCACATTAGTTTTATTGGAAAGATGCTTAAATGAGAGCTGGTTACCCATAAATGTATATCCAAAAAAACATGGGGAAAGAGTTCCATATCAGAACATTTAACATTACCTTCACAACAAAGAAATTGAAAAGTAGACAAAAACAATCACAGATTAGTGTATTACTTAAATAATATCCATAAAGTAAAGGTGAAAAGAAAAAAATTACAATTTATGCATCCTGACACAGAACTTGGGTAACACCAAAGTATCACAAAATTCAGGTATACAAGCAGGAGAGACAATAAAAGAATACATATTAAATAATTACGTGAAAGAATATATTATAACGTGTCAACTACACTGCATCTCCAGTGCTGATGAGGCATTTTGGTCAGTACCAGGGCTCTTCAGGCTGTCTAGAATATGATGGACATAGAAGTGGTATAGGTGCTTTTTATAGGCCTAGAGATAAATGATATCCACAAAATAAACTGAAGGTGAAAATAAATCTAACACTGAAATTACAAATGGCATCCTGATAAGGAACTCTTTCCACCAGAATGTTGCAGAATATATGAATATATATATGAAATCTGAATATATTTCCAAGTGGTTGTACATTAATTTGTCCAAAATAAGTGAAATCCACGTGCTTTGTATGCCTTACATTTTGGGTTTCAGCATTGCTAATGGCAGAAAAATTACTGCAGAAATGAAATTATTCTGATTTTTCTGTTCAGATTTAAATTTCTTTTTAGCTGAAATTCCAATTTTTACATCAATTAGGGTTGGCAACACTACATAAAACACTGAAAGCTACTGGCCATCCTGTTTATCAAAATGGATATTCTTTGTAACTGCTTTCAGCCTGCTTTCATACAAAATATGGCAGGTAACACTGTCATTGCACAATGCATGCTCAGACTGTACTCCAACAGGTTGTAGGGTTCAAAAGTTCAGATCAAAAGATGTTAATGTTAAAAAAAGATTTAAGCAACTTTGAATTTGCTACAGTTGCCCGAAGAATGCCTGTTGTCACTGTCCATACCATACAAACAAGAACACCTGTCAGAAGTGATGTGTAAAGTAGCATTACAATAAAAGATCTTCTCCATGTTTCAAGTTTTATATATTCTTTCTGGATTCAGCATGATAGAGTGACTCTCTGTGTCATGCAAGTGTAAGATTAGTGGAGTGATATGCACACATTACATCAGTAATATGGTTTTTAGGACTCAACACAAAAAGCACAGACCCACAAGACTAGGTTACATAACTTGAGGATGCTGTGACAATCATTGGTGACACTTTCAGTAAATCAAACAATAACCAAAGGTGGAACTTAATACATTCAATGTACACAGTAATTGAGACATGACATTTTTATAGGGGAGGTATCAACAAGATTAAAAGCAATTTTCTGGTCATTTTTTTTGTTTTTCAAAACTAGTGGGATAAGATAAACACAATATATGGAAATAAAGAAATTTGAAGAGTTAGCAAAATTCACATCTTATAAACCCTTGAACTTTTACAGCTGAAATACTTGTTGAAAAATGTTATTTCAAGTTATTTTAGCACTTCAAACAAAATTCCTCTTGCAAGAAACAGAAGTATGTTTTATTATTACCAAAATATATGTAACTGGATTTATTTAAGATTATGAAAGTTCTATAATAAAAAAGCAAATATCTTTAATAATGCTGTAGTTTCTTCAGAACAACTTCCATTCTTATAAGCCATAGAAAAATAAGAAAGGTGTCTTAAGAGATACTTAATAAAAATGTATTTTAATAGTATAAGAAAGTGAAAATAGTAAAATCAGGAAAATACATACAAATAAGTAAAGTTTCAAAGCATTTTGTGACATCATGAAAACAGACTAGTTGTTTTTGAGTACCTAGTAAGATTAGGTAATCTAGGCTAGGGCAACACACCTACATGAGAGTGTAGCCTTGGCTCAGTAATGACATTAAAGCTATATGTGTAATATAGTTTAAAAAACTATGACTTTAGCTTTGTGTAATTGAGCTACGCATAAGTTTAGTCTTGCTTGAAATTCACAATTTGCCTTTTCTTTTTAACCAAAATCCCTCCCTGTAAGTCACAAAAGTTTAGTACCAAAAGTTAATTTTTTTTTTTACATCTGGAGGATTTTGTAACTTTGAATTTCAACACAGCTTGTAGCATAGCCAAAATTTTTATCACATGAACTAAACTATCAACAAAGAAAGTTTATTGGCTTCAACTTTGAGCTAGAATTACTGTTCTGCTCTTTCAAGAAGCACAGTGTCTTATTTGACTAATTCACATAATCATGGATGACATAAAAAGCAAAATATAGCACTAGGAAAAAACTATATATCACATTGATAAACATTTTACTGCAAACAGTTAGTTGTGAAATATATGTTTTGTTTTGAATACTTATTAGTTATTTTGTGGCCTTATTTAGTTGGACTAATTGGTTTATTGTTTTGTTAGTTTACAGATTTCCCCTGACCATGCTGAGAATCAACAGTATTGAAATTATGACTTCTGATATTAACAGCATGTCTAGTATAGAAGGGATTCAAGACAGAATTTTTTGACCTTTTCTGTTGATGTGATTTTTGATACAGTACTGTTTAACACAATATCACTGGTATAGCATTTCTCAGTATAATATTGTAAAAAAGTTGGTACCATGCTACCTTTTAATAAGCCAGTTATATACCTCATGTGATGTAGTGTAAGCTGTTTTATGTTTTACTTAAGTATGAGTTAAAGTATGTCAAAATAAAAGATAATGTAAGTATATGTCTACTTCTGTTGAGTATTTCTTGATTTGTCTGTATTTATCTGGTACTTAATACCATATCATACAACAGATTTTTCTTTTAAATCCACTGAAAGAGTAGGATACATCAATAGTTTTTTCTTGCAAAAAAATTAATTCCTGATTTAACTTTTAAGCAATGTTTTGTAAAGGACTAAGGTCTCTGCAGTTCTTACACAAAAGTAATGCTCTTAAATTTAAATAATATGTAGTAATAATTGTGAAGAGGTTTAAGTTTTATGCAGAAAAAACTCTTAACTTAAACATTACATGGAAGTTTGAAAATTTTGTTGATCAAGTATTCTGCAGACAGGGATGCTATTTCAGTTTTTGGAGGTGCAGCTTTGAGTAGAGGTCACTAAGATTACAGTAAACTTTCCACTAAAAGAAAATTATAATTCACTAATGTATTATGATAAAACAGTGAAATGAAAGCAGCTGCACAAACTACTTATTTTTATATTGTATAGATAAAAAAATTAGCAAATGGTATTAAACACAGAGAGGAGGACAACTGCCACCCGTCTGCAGACCCATAGTATTGTGATAATTTCCAGAAATATATTTAACATGTACAATTTGTTTTAAAAGATCTTTAACAAATGATTATTTTTACTCTTTATTATTTGCATTAACAAATGGTATATATTTAAAAGACATTAGCAAGATAAAAGATCAATTGTCTGCAATGAGATTTGTCTGGTGATAGCATATTCCATGGTGGAGAGCTTTTAGTATTCAGCCTTCAAGATAACATTATTGTACACATAACTAAAATATTTTTTTTACTTTGTTAAACATATAAAAAGACTTATGGTTTATAATTATGTTATTGTTTTTTCTTTATACATACTCAGGTGACACATTTATTTATTTTCAAATATGATGAATTTCTAATAAATTTCAATATTGCCTATTAAGGCCAATGCAGTGAAAGCTTCACTTGCAGACTATTGAGTAACTTTGTCAATAAGAAAAATCTTAGGAATACAGAATGAAACAAAATGCTCTGGAGCAGACAGTAAACTCATGAAGAACAATTACAGCAAATAAATGGATAAGTAAGAACTGAGACTTCTACAGGATGTCCAAAAAGTTTGGAACCATTGGCACTCCAACAAGTTTTAAAGAATGTGTTCCACATGCTGTCTTTGTAATTTGAAATAAGTTTGGATTAACACCAAGATTAACTTAATCTTCTCATATTTTGACAGTGCCATGATCAGTTAGATATCTGAAATTAGGAAAAGCTGCAAAAAATTGTCAGAATTTGTTCAGATAAACATGTTACCTAGTCTCTGAGTCATTTCTTTGTTCTTTACATAAACTTCCTTGAGTTGGTGGCTTGTGACTCTTACCCATGATTGCATATAACAAAATATCCTGATAATAAATAAATTCATTTGTAATGAATGTAGGCCAAACCCAACGATGTTACACATAGGTGAACATTCACATTGCTCTTTCCAACATTTGGGTGTCATTAGCAAATCTTCTAATATAATTATTAACATCTCTGCAATACTCATTAAATTATTAAGTAGCTTAACTTTTAACTAGACCCTCTGTTGTGATATACTATTTACTAGATGAAGTAGAGAAAGCATTTAAACTTAATGAAGTATGAGTGGAGATATTTCTCTACAGACTAAGGCTGATATTTTCTCAGAGAATTTGCTGAAGAACAGAAGGATTTTCTTCTTCTCTCTCTCTCTCATTTTTTTTTCTTTCTCAAAACCATGGCTTTTTTACTTAACTAATATGGTGTTGGCATCGTTCTAGATGGAACCAAAACCCTAACCTCAGCACGTTTCTTGGCTTTTGATTCATTGTTCTAAAAGGGACCAAAACCGTAAATATTTTTTCTGGGTTACGATTGGCTATTTCTCACATACAAGTAAAGTGTTGCAATGTTACCAGCAGAAGCTATTAAAACAACAGGTTGTCGAAAAATTTATGGAATCCAGGGTGCACTATTAAGATATCAATAAATATCTCACACCACATTCAGGGAGGAGATAATGAAATAAAAACATTAAACTTGAGCCCTATAAAGTGGAGGTGTATGGAAGGAGACACGTACAAGGCAGAGGTCGAGCTGCCTGGACTTTAGGCACGTCAAAGATACAGATAAGGACATGCCAAACTCTAAGAAAGATAATATACGAGTTGATAGTATGTCTCAATGCTCAGGATTACTAGTTTTTCTCTCTTTCTTTTTTTTGTCTAATGATACAAGCTTGGAATGTATTTCTAATTAAGTATGTGTCCAGTTGCCCTGACTTTCTTCATGGCCTTATTCAATGACCCAATTTGCTTACTTGTTTCAACATCCAAAAAGCTTTTCATTAATTTTTTTGGTTAACTAATACATACTGTAGTTTTCATATGGCATTTTATTCTCCATAATTATTACCAACTGAATTTTATATTAAACATTTGCTAACAAGCAATTTTTTTATATGATTCCAGACTTTTAGGACACCCTGTACTTAAGGAAAAGAAAATACTAATTAGATAATATATACAGAATTGAAGAAAAAAAACAAAGTTGTAAACATTTTCTTCAATTCTGTAATTATGGAGTTTCACCAAGTACCAACTGGATAATATATCTTAAAAACGTAACTAGAAGACATTGCTTAGCACATGAAAATATGAATGCAATCAAATGACTAGCATTTTGTATTTTAAAGCATATTTTGCATATCATGCAACACAAAATATATGAATATGCCATTATACATGGTAACCTATAATAGTTGTATTAAAATATGGTATAGGAGAAAGTATACATTTTTGTGCAGTTATGTAGAGTAGGATATTACTGAAATGGGTAGGTTAAGATTAGCACTACACAAAAGGATAACATGAATTTGTAATATTTGAGGTGATGGCAACAAATTGATTCACATTCAAACTCAGTTAAAATGTTTTATGTGCAGGGTTTGCTTGAGTCTTAATGTATTGCCAGTGATCTTGAGGTAACTATGCTGCACTAGAGTATCACATTCTAAGGCATTTGCAAGGACATTATGTGGAGCATAGTTTCATGGTATTCTTGTTACGCTCCTTAATATTTTCATATTAGAGCTGGCAATGAGGACAAGGGTATTGATAAAACATTAAGCAAACAAATATTCTCATTCACATTATAATTGAAAAGGTGTTACTTTAACGTGAATGGTAGATTTAAAGTGCTCCGAATTCTACGAGTCATTTATAAACTTCAAAGAAAACATTTTGATGTTTCATTCCTGTGGGAATTTAGTGAATTATACCAGGTTGGTAGAAATTGGGCTTTAAGCATCTATGTTTCATTAACAAAATGTGGAATTGCTTCAATTTCTTGGACATGTGGACAAGACAAACTATCACCTACAACACTAATAGATGACTACTATCTCTTAATTCTGAATCACTACAATTATAGACTGAATCAGATGTTTGCAGCTATAACTGGACTTCATGTTTGAGTGCAAATAGCTCTTTGAAAAATGTAGCATTCACAGCAAGACATAAAGCAGTTTGCCTACATCAATACCAAAAAATGGCCAGTGGACCAATATTTGTATCACAGATAAGTTGAATATCATTTTGCAGCCAGATAATAAACACGTACTAATTTCGAAAATATATGAAATTGCATCCAATCCCATTTTCATAACACATGGTGGAAGAGTGATGGGCAGGAATAAACACTTGTGTACAAACTAGCTTCTACTTCTATCAGAATGGTACCATTAATGCCACATATAAGAACTACATCCTACAACCCTTTGTGCTACTTTTAGCTGTTGCACTTGGCCTCCACTTCAACTTGATAAATGATAATACCCACTCCCCACTGCTGAATTGGTTGGCAATAGTGATGTCATAATGATTTAGAATTTAGTCAAAAAAAATGAAAAGAGAGAGGAATCTTAAACCACTCAACTTATCTTTTACATATTTAAAATATATATATATACCTTTTATTTTAAGAGAAAAAGATTAGCACACTTGCAAGTTTTTAGTTAACTTATTTCAAGGTTTTATTACAAACAATTGATTCCAAATAACCAAATGTGTGATATCAAAAAGCTAATAACAACATGCCTAAGCTTTCATATGTTTGCTCATTGGAAAAATTCAACTATAATTCATAAAGAACTGTAATGCTATGCTTGAACCTACAAATACAAAACTTAAAAAAGCAATTCTCCACTCTGCCACCTTCCATGCAATTCATTCCACTTTCATTAGGACTGTCAATAAGAAAACCTGAATTATGTAAGATAAGCAAAGCTTTGGTAAAATATCATGATTTTAACTTTGTTTACTATGAATTCCAACAACTCATTACTTACTGCTGTTAATGTTTATCAACATCAGAAATGTTAAGACTTCTTTGGAAGCCTTACTCATGTAGTCCACCTTTAGCATGCAGGAAGATCCCAGGACTGTATTTAGGCCATTACTTCTTTGTCTGATGATGTCCCTAGCAGATTTTCACATTTGTACAAGAATGGAACACGTGCACTTTCCTCATTGTAAAATAAAGTTTCATAAGTCTATTCAACTTCATTGTCAGTATAGCTTGATCTGTCAGTTAGCTCTTATAAGATCAACATTATGGTGATCTGATTTTCTTTTTACTTTACGTTTAAATCATGAACAATATCTGTTATGCATGAGGATATTAATGTAATGATGGATGTGTCAGTTCTTGAATCTTTATTTTCACTTTCTCCTGATTTAAAATTATCACACTTCTACAAGTTCTTCAATCTCCATGATTCCAGAGATATCTGGAGTCAGGGAATTTTAAGATGAAAGTAAAGACCTAGTTTTTAAAGTTTCTTTGTCACAGTCATTGAAGGACAATGGTGGATATATAGGCTTCTTTTTGTATCCTTATTCATTTGTCTTCCCATCATTTTTTTTGTACCATTGGAGAATATAGTCTGTTCATTGCCTTTCACTTTAGCTCAGCTCCATATTTTTTCTATCCAGTAGTCTTCTTGATATAAATTTTTATTTTTACATAAATAATTGGGTTACTTGGAACTCTTTTGTCCAATCTTTTACTCACTGTTAGTTGACCTACTAGCTGGCTACATTTCTTAGGTGGTTCTTCCTTAACTCCATTTTCTATTCATTATCAACATATCCAGTAACGGGACCTTGCTTATCAATGGCTTCTACCTTAAGATACATTATGTCAAAGAATCTCCTCTAACTCACTACTAATGATAATTTTCAGATTTGGCTCAATCTAATTTACTTGTGAAAGTTCTCCTTTTTATCCAACTCTTCACAGACGTTTTCTCAAGGGCTGGGGTGCTGTCTTGGGGAAACATCATCCTTTAGATTCCTTTCTCCAAATCTTTTTGATCCTTGGGTAGTTCATCATGTTTGTCAAGAGTTGCTACATCACCAGTTTTAGTCCACATTGATCCCTTTACACTACCTGTTTTGAAACATCTACAGCTTCACAGCTGGCTGTTTTATAGTTCCTTAATAGACGAGCTAGATTTTCTTTTCAAATAGCTTAAGTTTCGTCACATTCTTACACAGCCAAAAACAATTTCACTGGGCTATCTTCTGGAGAGGATGCCTTTGAAATTCTGTTTCTTGTCTTTCTCTAACTCTTCCACAGGTTGCTTAATTTTTCATCTTTGTGTTTAATGATTGTATTGTTTGCTCCTTCCGTTGTAGGCTACAACAGAAAAGTTATCTTCTGTTCTTCTTCCAAGCCTTTCAGTAACTTTATCCCCCAAACACTTTATTCATTGGAATTTAAGTTTCATTTTATGCTTTTCCTACTTTCAAACCTTTAGCAACTTGCTAGCTCATCTATTAAAAATGTATTTTCTTACGTTACTTGCTTCAGGTTGAGTAAGATTTGACATTTATGATATTCTTTAGAAGACATCTTATGGTGAATCGCATAGATGAATCCAAATACTTTTCTTTAATTTTCTTTAATCACATTGCTACCTCTTCAGCTTCAGGATTTTAGTTTACATCTGTAGTTATTCTCCAAGCCAGGTGCAATTCTCTAGATAATGCTTGGGACCATATTTAAGTTATACATAAATGACATGAGTATTATATATTTTACCCAACAGACCCCATTTGAATGATGTCCATTATAGCAAAATATTTTGAAAAATATATATATACATTATTTTCCTTGGAATTTATTAACTTCTTCATATGACTAATAAGGGTTTTGCTCTAGAAGTGGACAGAGGGTGCCATCTTGTGGCACCAGCCACAGCACATACCTTTCTCATCTCCACATGAGGCAGACACCCATTTTCAACAATGTCAGCTCCAGCCATGGTGGGGACCATAACTTTATACGTTTATCGGATCAGCCCAACTCTAAACCATATAATACATGTTTTTACACATTCTAATTGCAATTTTATTACCCTGGGAAATTCCTGTTGAAAGTGTTGTAGGAACTATAAACTGCTATATCCCATATTGTGCTCTGAGCATTTTTGCAATCGAGAGTTTTGTATTACAGTTGTATGTAAACAGTCTTATAACACGAGCGATGAATTTTTGTTTTTTTTGTCAGAAGGGTTTGTAATTTGTCGGTGAGAGTAAAATAAACACAGAAAATATATGGGATATGTTTAGCAGTTGAAACTGTAAGGGGAAGAACTTTTGAAACTTCATGATCAATAATGAAGAAAAAAGAAACAACAGCTCATTATATTTCTGATTTTACAATTTTTCTTTTCATTCTACTTCAATGAGTTTTCTACAGGCTGAAGAATCAAATAATAAATGTAATAACAGGTAAATTATAACATTTTATTAAAAAAAAAGGTATATATGTATTTAGGATGTTTCAGAGGTTGTGCAAACGAAATTCAAGATTTTTGAAACAAAGAAAAGTATTTTAAATCTTAAAATGAAAATCACTTTGCACTCAGACTAGTTAAAAAGAAAGAATCAATATTTTCATGGACAAATATAAGT